GCGACAGACAGACAGACAGACAGACAGACAGACAGACAGACAGACAGACAGACAGACAGACAGACAGACAGACAGACAGACAGACAGACAGACAATATGTACATGCGAGTGTGTACGTATGCATGTATGTGAGTGAGTACATAAGTACTGCTTGTTTACGGAGAAATAGTATTTAAAGGCACAAGAACTTGAGGAAGACAAGTTTTGGCTTACTTACCTAAAAAGAATTATTTTGCTGCAATATTTAGAATAGTGGCTGTCTGTGGTTTTACCTTGTAAACTGAGCATCGAACTAATAAAATGTCTTTCTTTTCTTAAGAAAGGGACCAGTTTAGCTAGATAATTGAAGTTGGGGTTCTGCACTAAGGATGGATTTTGGGAAATTCAGTATTTGATATCCTCTACCGATTGGACTTCCAACCAGAACTTTATAGGATACTTCTTTCCAACAAAATGACGAAATCACTACATGGTTGTTGTTTTTCTCGGCGAATCGCTCACTTCTCCAAAGACTAGTAGAAAATGAACCTTTTGGCAGTCGTTAAGAAAACAAAAGATTAATGTGAAAAGGAAAGGACGTTTGCAAAGCTTCATGCTTTCAGCCATTCTCGTGCAGATACTAATTTTATGAATGAGGCGCTCACAAGAAGCATTCCTGCGTGCCGTTTTTATTGTACTGTTCCATTCATTTTCTTTGAGTGTATGTACTTTAAGTACTGTAACCAAAGCCCCTGCCATTCCTCTTTACGAACGTAGCAGACACACGTGTCCGATCAGCAGGCCAACAATACGCCAGGAACCATCATACACAAATCAGAAATACGAATTCTATTATTTCACACGATGCCCAGCACTATCTGTCTTTTGAAGCTTTAGGTCACTTTTTAAAAATTTACATCTTTTTTGTTAGTGTTTTACAGCTCTCTCAACTGTATAAGGTCAAAAGTTTTAGGTTAAGAAAACAATTGAGAAATCTCTATGTATAACGAAGTAATCCCCCAAAACAGAGCGTTTTTAGCATTGTCGAATGATCAGAATACATGTCCTCAATGAGTTATACACGAAACACACTCACCCGTGTTTCCTTTTTCGAACTGTTCACAAGCACACCGTGCATCCAGTTGTTCCTCGCACTGTCCAGTCATACTGTGAAAAAAGGAACCGGGAAAAGGAGCAGCGTCCGTTGTTCTCTATCAACCTAGTAGTATGATGGCAGGATGCCAAGCCATTAATTGTCGTCAACAAGAAGTATCTAGAGCTATCTGTAATCCGGATCTAAATATCTCTTCAGTCTCCCAATAAGTGTTCGAAATGGACATAAATATTTCAAGAAGATAATTGCAAAACGGAGCGATTGAGCCTTCTGTCTTTTGATTCGGCCTTATCTTTAATACATCAAGGAGAATTGCACTCGGTATACGCAAAATGGACTCCTAACGATCCCACGTCTGTTTTACGAATGGTAGTAAAAGTTGTAGGTGTCAAAAATAGCGGTATTTGAACGGTATAACGGACGAACTAATTGAATGTTCGCTGTGGCCTAGTCTCGGTTTGATAGCTTCAGTGGTAGTGATAACAAATAAAGACGAAAAACAACAAAGAGCACAATGAGGGGGCAGGAACAAAACGTTTCTAAAAAAAATATGTATTGGTGTAGGAGGTTGATTTGTGTGTTGGGGTTAGGATTTCTTGTTTATTTTTTTAATTTCCGTTTTCGTTTTGATTTTGTTTTGATTTTGTTTTATTACATTTCTTTTTTTTAAAAATTCATAGTAAGTCCATAAATAACTGTGTACCGTGGCTTATGGTTAAACGCCAATGCACTAGGCTCTTTATCCCTATTGATTCGCTTCCTATCAAATCAAATAAAGGGAAGTATGTAAATTTAAACTCCCAAAGGTAAAATTAAAAGGTGTAAAACAGCTCAGAACTGATAATCCCCTTTCAAACTGATAACGCAGGCGTACACAGAAAGACATACAAGCAGAACAACAGACGAAGAGACAAACAAGCACACAGACAAACAGACAAACACAAAAGCTAGGTAAAAGATAAGTAATCATGCAACAATCACTGCAGGTACTTATTTTTAGACCTAGAAAAACCCACAAAAAACGCCCGCTTAGTTATAGTTGTTTTCCATGATACAAGTCGATGGTTTCTTCAGTGGGTAGACATGTAAGCGAAGGCAGGACACAGGGGAAGGAATCACAAAAGAGGAGACATACACAGGGTTCATGTTCACCTTACTTCACCAGGACTAGTGTCTATGGTGTAACTGTAAGGCTCCTAGCCTTTGCACGAGGAAACTGTGAGTTCGATCCTGGTGTAGAGACAGTTGATGAGCTCCGCTGTTCTGCTGGGATGCCCGGGTTGGCCATGGCAAACAAGTCTGTTCGAGCAACCCGACTTCTAAATGATATAAATTGAATTAAGAGGGGAGTGAAAGATTTATTGTCAATCATTCAGTTTATTTCACAAGCGCGTTATTATGCCTAGAATCACGTGATGCAGAATCTGACATGGCTTAGTGCGTAGACTACACCCCGTCATCATGTGTCACGACATGGTGGAATCGGACACTCGTCAATTTATAGGCTTATAGAATTATTGGTATCATCTTAAAGCTTGTTCATTTATCTTGCTTTTAATGAAAAAGAAACCGCTATCGCGAGCAAAGGTCGAGATATTTGCGAGTGAAGAAGGTGGGGTTCACCTGGTGTTTGAGGTAAAATTAGCGAGAAAATGGCCATCCAAGTTTGGTGACTTCCTAAGCTAGCGTGTCTTTGGAAACCACAATTTAACATTTGTGTGCTTTTGATTAAAGTTTTTCAGTAAAATCCACAAAGAATGCTGCTTTATAATGGACCTAAAAGTAGAAAAGCCAAAAGAAGCGCTTTAAAAACGCCTAATAGACGGACAAAAAGCCGGTTTCTTTGATTTCATCATTTTGACCAGCGCCTGATTTCACTACGATGCTCCATCATTTATTCTCCGCTTGTCCCCCAC